CCCCCTCCCCCCTCCACCTTCCTCCTACTGCTGGCGCTACAGCAGATGGCCTTGTCACTCTAGACCATGTGTCTCTTCAGGAATTCTGTCCTGTCCTCAGCAAGCAGCCCCAAGGTCAGTGCAGCTCCTAGCGATCCACCTTCGCACTAAACCTCGCTCACCGACCAAACGCTGGACAAAACGTTTTTACTTTACAACCCTCTGGAGCATTGAATACACATCCGCAAATCGACCTCACCGGACTCGCATGTGGGACTGTGGACTGTGCTATGGGAGCTATTGCCCAAAATGAATAAGGGACTGCAAGTCAGATGGTGCTCGTAGTGGCCGTCGGTTCCTATTGGGAGTTCTTATGGAGGCGCATGTGTGCCCCCAAGAAACCCCCCACCCCTCATCTTGGCGTCAGCAACTGATGCTTAGAATAGTTCACAAAGTCTGACATGTTACTGGGCTTGGGTTTCAGCTGCACAGCCTCCTGCAACACATCAATGGGATCAAAGTTTAGCCCTCTCTGTAGTAGCTTTCTCTCCTCCAACTCCCCCCCCCTCCAAGGACAAAACAGGCACCTTTACCACCTCGCCATTCACAAGATGCATTTCCGATCCAAAGACAAACACTGTTCGGCGTTATGTCGTTGTTGAGGCAAAGCTTTCATTAGCTACACAGCAACAAAGTGCACTAAATGCATCGCTGTATAATTGCAAGAATGAAAGATCCTAAGTCCCTGGTAATAAACATGGTGTTAATAGTGAGAGAGTTAATGCATAAAGGCTAAAGAGCCATAAATATGAGAAAAACAGTGACATCTTGTAGATACAGCAATATATTTGACATTTCTGTAAACAGTTTAACTTGAACATGTACGTTGTACATCAAAAAGTACAATTTCAAGACAAGAAACTATGAAAAATTGAAAAGTTGGAAAACATCCTCAGTTATCATCTTTATGCACAATTGACTTCAAACTTGACATCTGAGAATATTTAACCCACAACATCATGATACACTTAATAATGTACAATATACCGAAGAATGTTTTATGTTTCAGTAAAGTTTTAAGCTGAAGCTGTGCATGCGTGTCAACAACCAATCAGTGGCACAGGAAACAATGTCAATTAGTACATCACTCTTTACAGCATCCCTACAAATCATGTGACTTCTAAGCTAAAGGGATCAACGATGAGACTCACAGGAATAACACAAGCAAGTGAAAAAAAAAAAACCCGCTGAACTATTTCTACTGGTCTGAGGTTGAAGTCAGAATGGAATGAGTGAAACAGAAACCAGTTGAGTAAATACATTTAGAGCAGATCCCCTCCCCGGATGTCTGAGCGGTGAAGTCATGGCAAGTTATCCAACAGTCTTCCCTGATTGTCCATGGCGGCGACCACAGTATGAACATCCAGAGGACAGTTCAGGCCAAAACAAACTGCCAGTTTGTGAGGAGGATTTTCATACCTCTGATAACGGAGACGACAGAAGTGGCCGGGTTGAACTTTAACGTGTTTGCCTCCCCTTTCTTGCATTTGTCCCTGAAGACGTATATGCAGCCATTACAGCTGGCAACCTTCCACAGTGACGGAATGCAGCTCCACACCTCAGGGAAGCGCAGGCGGGTGAAGCTCTCCAGCAGAGGGTTGTAGCACACCAGGGAGTCTCCCTCGGCCACAACGAAGATCACGTCCATGTGGACCGCAGCGTGCATGCAGCCCGCGAACGGCAGCATGTACGGTTTGATCTGGCACTTCTGGGAGGCGGTGTCAAAGCACTGAATCAGTCGAGATGGCTTCGTAAAAAAGTCCATGTCGTTCTCCTCCCCTCCGAGCAGGTAGATGGTACCTCCCAGGTTCACACCAGCAGCCCCGGACACTGCAGTGTCCAGCTGGCTGGTCTCTGTCCACATGTTGTCCTTCACTGTGTAGTAGATGACGGCGTTTGAGAGTGTGTCCTGCAATGTCTTACCTCCTAGTGAGTAGATAGCGTCCTCTGCAGAGACAGAGACCATGGTGTGATGGAGGCGGTCTCTGGGCAGTGGGGCGCAGCGCTCCCAGTCCATGGTGTGCATGTTGCACTTCCACATGCGGCGAGGAATGGACCCCCCCACCACATACAGGTCGCCTCCATGTTTACAGGCTGCAGTGATCTGATGGCATAAACTGTTCTGGCCGCTCACGCTGATCGCGTCGTCCTCGTCGCAGTGAAGCGACACCGCCAGGGAGTGAGTCCGCGCCTCCTCTTTACCGATCAGGTAAATGTGGACGTTCTCACCGATTTCCTGTAGACACACAAAAGACACATCAGACAAACAAATAAACACAACAGAAATCAAATGAGAGCACTCTCAGACGAAAGAATGTTACCTTGAGATTTTCTTGGAGGATACAAGAAAACTCCTCTCTCTCCACCTTGTTGTGATTTATCCACAACTGGATGGCCACTGTTGGATTCTGGGAGCTCGGAACTCCATCTAAACACAAACACAAAGCATAGTTAATAAAACATTCATAAAATGTGTTTTCTTTAACTGTTCCCGCATGTTTTATCACTGTACATACAGTAATGTACATAATACAGCACATTGGCATAGAGTGATAAGACAGCCGTGAGGAATACCTTTGAGGATGTCCAGGAGCAGACAGAGAGGCAGATTAAGAAATTCCTCCGTCTGATGCAGCTGCGTCAGGTGGATTTTAGCACAATGCTTTGCTGCAGTATACAACTCCTGGTCACTGTGTCTGTCGGCAAGCCACATCACCTGGACAAAAACAGGTCATCAGTAATGTGATACTACACAATTATGCTGAGGTAGCAGAGACTTGTGAGTCACAGTGAGTCACCTGCAGGCAGTTCTTGACCTCTACTGTCCGTGAGAGGAAGCGGGAACATTCCTCAAACAGTGCGGTGAGCTGGTACATATCGGCCATCTCATACGTGTCCTGAAGCTCCTCCACCCTCAATTTAATTGTGCCGTGATATATGTAGTCGACCAGCAGCTGAAAGACGGTGGCGCTGACATCCTTCAGTTCAATAGAGCGGTTGTGGGACTCTTTGAGGTTGGAGGTGAACATGGAGCGGAAGAAACTGCTCTGTGCCGAAAGCACCAGCCGGTGCAGGTTGAACTCTTTGCTATCCACGCTGACGGTGACATCAGCGAACAGGCCGTCCTCCAGACACAGGTCCATGATGCTCTTCACCACCCGGCTGGAGTGGGAGCGATCAGTGAAGGTGTATCCCAGGAAGTAGTTCTCGTCTCCCACAGAGCCCCCGACGCTGAGGCCCCCCTCCTCGCTGGACTCCATCTTTGCTGCTCGCCTGATAAAGTCACCAAACAACATGGCATCCATTTACGCTCAGTTGCCATTTTAAAAGATATGTAAATTTAAAACAAAAAAACTCCTGTCTTTATTAAGGTTATAATGTTCAGTTGTTGTTGACATCTTTCTAGAGCTCTCCTGACACTCCAATGTGACACAGGTGACGATATTGGAGTGTTTAAAAACAACAATATGATGACCAATAATATATATTTTTTTACATAAATAGATAACATAGATAGTGACTAGTTTATGTACTTAACAAACAAACTTGTTGTTCTTTAGTGATTCCTTTTATGGAAATGTTTGGGCCTGTAGTGTGTGGTTCTCTTAAATTGTGTTGCATTATCTTGAAAGGTGTTTTTAATCGTGTATCCACCCCATTTATTTAAACTTAAATAAACTAAATATTAGACACCTAACAATACAAAACAATACAATACAAATGAAAACTCCAAAATCACCTTTAAGATGAATAAGCACCTCTCTGATACAGTTCAAACAACAACACAATCCACATTATAACCATCATAAGGATTATTGCAGGAATGATGTATTAGATTGCATTAGTTCTAGCTAGATGACAATAGATGATGTGATGACTGTATGTCGCATTTAGTATGTAAACCAAGAGCTGATCCAAAGCTTAGTTATACTGCTATTAAATGAGCTGATGTTACAGGTTTTTAATGTCAGTGATTCACACACAGATAAGAGTCTAGTGCACGAGGAGCTAACGCTAGCTTTGTTGTGTTCTCATTAGCTAGAACATGGTTAGCACACACAGCAGCTAGCTAGCTGGCTGCCTAACGTTCCCTCCAGTCACAAATCAACCGCGATATCGTGGAGGTACAGTTGAAATTAGGACTTCACATGAGACAAAAGAGTCGTAACACTTTAAAAATGACAAATAAAAAATCGTGGTTACCTTTGTTTCCACTACTTTATTATTTAAGAGCAGCTGAACTCTTCACCGGAAGTAAATAAACTGTTTCATCGGCCAGACATGAGACGAGTCGCTGGTATCAACTGGAGCTGCTGCCCCCATGTGGTGGAGCTGCGTTACTACAACTGTCAATTTGGAAAAACTCTTTAGTGTAAAAAAAAAGACAATCAGCTCACAAGATATAATTGGTCAATTCTACTAAATAAGTCATTTCAAGTGACAACAGTTATCTAGATAGATAAATAGATAGATATATACTTTATTCATCCCCAGGGGCAAATTTGTTAATCTATGTATAGTGGAAAGTTAATTGATTACTTAATTAGTTACATAGTTAGTGATTCCAGGACATGTTGTGGTAAACATAATGCCTTTCTTACAGCATGCACTGTATATAATCTTCACCAACATCATGAGGCTTTAAGGTTATATTAAATATGTGTCTTATCCAACTAAGCAGAAAGCCAAAGAGGCGTGCTTTAAAATCTCAAATTACATTTACCCAGTATTTTGTTTCAGGACTGCCCTGGTTATTTTTTCAGATATGGTTTCACCCTAATGTTTTATCTAATCATTTTAATGTTACTCAAATCGGTGTGCTTTTATGTTAATTGTTGAAACTCTGCATTGCTGCTATTCTTGGCCAGGTCTCCCTTGAAAAATAGATATCTGATCTTAATGGGACACGGTTAAATAAAAATAAAAATATATAAATTTGACCGTTACCTTAACTGATACTGACTTCCTTTATTTGTCTTTTGTTTTATATTGTTCAACATGAATATACTGGGAAATGCATCATTCAATTAAAAGCTTATATGTTTGCACTTAATTTACGCAGATTAAAGGCTGAAAAGGTTAGTTGTCTCTGTGAACTTCATGTCCCGCTATAAGTTCTGCATGCTGATACTGATGAAAATCCAGGATTTAATCTCTGTTCTGCATCACATCCATCTGGCTTTGGGTCCCATTTTTCCGAGGTGGAAAAATGAAAGGTATTCAGGCTGAGCTGCTCCTGCCCGCATTCACAAAAGTGCTCAAGGGAGGAGGATGCAGTGTTTTACTTTTTAGCAATAATCAAAAGAAGAATGAATATAAAAATACAATTTCAAATCTCCTTTTGGGTAATTTTATGGCTTTTGTTTGTTCTACAAGGTAAGTAGACAGAAGATCTTCTAACATGACTGTGATGAGGACAGACTATTTTAGGTTGTTATATAATGATACTGCATGCACTGATCAATATGCACTAGACAGGTGTCAGTGTATACAGCCATTTACAGTTCCTCTGCATTTCAATTATGTTAGTTAAACTTCAGTATTTTCTTCTTTAGATGCGGCTGCAGGCGGAAGTCCAACTTCTCAAAAAATGGTCTCATCTGTCTCTGATGTAAACCTGATGTTTGAGGTACTTTCTTTATTTTAGAGTTAGTAGATGTCCACGAAATCAAATATTGTGCCACGTTTTACTTGCAGAATTAGTGATGCTTTTTCATTTTTTCTATCCCGTGTGCAGTTGTTGCTGGGCGGGGTGGAGATCGACGTGGACAACAACATCGTCCTGCTCGACGAGGAGATGGCATCGATGAGGCAGGGGCGGGCTTTTCTGTCTCAGATCAATGACAACTTCCCCCGAAGTCTGAGCTCCATGCTGCACACGGTGACCACACTGGAGGGTCAAAGGACGAGACGGCCACTGACTCAGGATCAGTTTGACAATCTTGTTCTGAGCACGGTGTACTCCGCCCATCAAGCCCGGCACCAGGAGAGAAAAGAGGAACAGACGGCCTGGAGTGAAGTGCTCCTCCAGCTGGCAAATGTCACGGTCTATGAACTACGTGGAAGCCATCTCTTCAGTTATGCATGATACCCAAACTGCCCTTCTGTACGAGATAAAGACGCAATAAATCAATTGCCCTGAATCCTCCTGTAATGTGTATTCATAATAATGCATGTGGTTGAAGATTGGTGAAAAAAAGAAGCTAATAGTGTATGAAACACAATAATCTTTATTATAGTACAGTAGAAAAACACTTTACACGTGAGCTTTTAAGATCCACAGTTCACTTCTTCCTCGTCTGTTTTTGTTTGCTGTACTCTGTCTTGGTCTCCAGTTCTTCCAGAGAAGCCAGTTTCTTCTTGAGCTTTGCATCCACAGCAGGAGCTCTCTTGTCGCTGCTGGAGCGCTGCCGACTCCTCTGCTGGCCTCTTAAGCGGTCCACCGAAGTCGAGGTTTCCTGCTGCGCTCTGCGCTCATCCCCGATCAATGACTTGTCTCTATCCCACACCAGCGCCGTCACACCTGTGAGTAAACATTAAGCAGCTTAAGTGACACACTTTGACCTCTATTCAATGAACTGGTTTGATCAAATTACGCAATCTATCAGAAATGTGCATTTCGAAAAACTCACCCATTCCAGATCCAATCACGTCGCCCATTGGATTGAATTTGTTGATCTGTAAATAAATAGATATCAGTGTTAATAACTAAACTATTCAAGTCAAAAAGGTGTTTCCGGTGTTTTAAAGAACACGCTCACAGATTTGATTCCTGGAGCACTGGGATCCTGCAGCTGACACACGAGCTCGGCTGTGTTGGCATCGAAGACGTCGATGGTCCTCTGATCTCCGGGGCAAACCCGGTCATCAGGGTAGCGGCCCGCCACGATGAGGTCATAGAAAGGGTGCCATGTGGCCTACAGACAAATAACAACAGCGTTCACAAAAGGTATCCTAACACTAGATATTGATTCCCCTCAGGATAAGTTACAGAAGGATAACTACACATCTAGAGAATAAACAAACCTTGATGGGTGTGAGATGCTGGAACAGCCTGTGTGGATGTTGGATGATATGCTGAGGCTTCAACCAATCAGGAGACGAGTAGACCCGGATCTGGTCGTACTGATCCGTGGTGAGCAGCTTGGAGCAGTCCAATGGGTTGAAATAGGCTGCGAGGAGACGACAGCACCAGCTTTACAAAACAATCTAGATCTAACAACTGTAGTGCTTCACAACTATATGTATATTAGGAATATTGCACAAATGTTGCAGAATATTCTAAAAAACAAATGTAAAGAAAGAGTTGCTTGCACAAGAGTGTTACCTGAGTTGACGGCTTTCTCGTGAGGCATCTCATGGAGGAAGCTCTTCTTGTCTTTGAGGTTTCTCAGGTCCCAAAGTTTCACGGTGTGGTCGACTGAGGCCGTTGCCAACAACCAATCACAGCAGGAGTTGAACTCTGCATGGGTCACTTTGGCTTTGTGCAACTTGTCACTGAAAATCTACAACATCAAAACAGAACAAAAAGCATTAATAATAAAATTACACACCTTTTAAATTCCTTATACAGTGTCTATTCACATTTTAGGATTAGACAACAAAACTACTTGGTTAGATTTGGTAATAAACACTTCATTGGGGGAATGGACACAAACCTTTTGGCCATCCAAACCCAGGAGTGTAAGCTGTCCCACATTGTCTCCGGTCACAAGCATCTGCCGACTTACAGACACATCCACGCAGCAGTACCAGTAACTGTGAGAAATAGAACAATGTCAGCTCACTGGATGTCACAGATGGAAAAGTAAACAGGGATGAAGCTAAAGATCCCATAGTGCAACACTACATGTATGATGTATTTCTTTATTTGGTGATTCTAAATGTTTCCCTCCTATGGCTAAAAGCACACCCACAAAAACACAACCTAACTAAGAGACGCAGTGTTACAACCGTTTTAAGAGTTGTAACACTGCGTTTCTTAGGTTTTTCTCATGAGAAGTTGAAATGTTGGAGATGCAAACATGACACATTAGCACAACAACATTAAGGTCACAGCATCTCTTTGAGCTGAGCATCAGTCTTCTATCGCAGTTTTCTCACCAAACATTGTGGTGATCGTGGCCACAGTCTTGAGTTCTGGACAGAACGGTGGGCGTGCGGCCCTCAAAGCTCTTCGTGGTCAACGTGCCCTCACCAGAAGCCACATAGACTCGGGTAAGGTCCGTCGGGCAAAACTTCATCCCTCCGATAAAGTCTCCTGCTCCGCTCTGTGCACAGGAACACAAAGGCAGGCCTATCACAGGGCAGCTATCCGCACCACATACATGTTTATCATTAAACCAATGAGGGCCACCCGGTAAGAAGACTGATGCTCAGGCCTTATAACTCGCTATGATTGCAGCTCAGAGAAAACAGACCATGTCTTACTTCAGTATGTCTGTGTTGGCAACCACTGTTAAAGTTGTCCCATTGAAATCTCGAAGTGCTGTCACACCCCGCATAGACGAGGCGAACAGCTGATTGTGATTTAACTTGTTAAACTTCATGTCTGTAACCGAGTCTCTGACCCCCATCTAGGCAGAAGAACCAATAAAAGGGGTGTTGTCAAGTAAATCTAATTTGCACAGTTTGGAAATGAATCACAGCTTCGAGATGTCCTCAAAGTGTTGCATAATTTAAAATGAACGACTCGTACTGTTGGTCACTCAAGTATGCGGTGCAGGAAACTCACCCCTTGAAGAACGACTTTTTTTGTGGGCACCAGAAAATCCCACAGATATATGTCGCCGCCCTTGGAGCCCATAGCCAGAGTGGTGGGATGAGTGGGGTGCCACTCCAGACAGGTGATTCTCCGGTTGAAGGGGCTGGTGGCACCGTGGAAATGATAGGACGACAGCGAGCGGACAAAAGGTCCCTGCAGACACTGGAAGAGGAGACAACGGAGTTAATCTGGTCATGAATATATGTTTCTACTTCACAGAAAAAGCATGCACACATGTCAATATATTGATATGCATTTGGAGAACCTGTCTCATCTGTGAGTGAAGACTTTGTCCCAGAGTGCTCTTGTAAATGTAGTGCAGGATGCTCCCATACCCTCCTCTCTTCTGAACTCTTGCGGACTTAACCGGAGGACCTGCAAGACCAATCAACTGACCAATCATGACCAGAACTTTTCACTTGCAGTGTGCTGAAGCTGTCAGTTCTGCACACCTTGTTTGGATGTTTCTCCATCTTTTCTGTCCCGTAGTTTTCTGGAGGGTGTAGGGCCAGAACTTTCCCCAGTTCTTTTCTTCAGTTCAGCCTTTGGCTCAGGTGCATCTGCGGACTTCGTCTGACTTGTTTTCATTTTTTCCCCCTTAAAAAAAAAAAGATTCTTATTGCACAACACGGAGGATTTGACTCGACACTTCTAGCAGCCTCAATGGGGTTAAAACAGACTGCCTACCTGTGGTGTTCAGTGTTTAATGGCGCACTTTAAGAGCAGGAGCTCCTGGTGTTTGCATAACGCAGCAGTGCACGTGAGCTGCACGACAGTGTTTTGTAACGTGTATGTGGTTACAGCTGGTGGATGGGAGGTGTTTGTTCTTCGCATTTATTGGCGGATTGATATACATATTTTAAGATGCATACCGCCACCTACCGTACTGGAGTATGTAGAGAGGGGATCTAGTTTAACAGCAGTCTGTATAAATAAAATAAAATAACCAAAGCAAAAAATACAATGTAATACTAAACATTCCAGTGTTATAAACTATTACCTAACCTGCTGTTTATTTTCGTCTGCGTGGTTTCTACGTGCTAGTGTCGGTTTATCTGACGACATGTCACATATTTCACATGTCGGTTGTTTCCACTTAAGGCACGTGAGGTGAAGGCGGAAACACGTGGTCACTTGTTGTGAAATCTGATTGGCTGCTGTCGGCTCGTTTTGAAAAAAAGTGCTCTGATTAGAGGCGGAGGGAATTTTCAAAATTTGTCGGAACAAGAAGGAGAAAAAATAAACTCAAGAAGAAGAAGAAGAAGAAGAAGAAGCAGCGAGTAACAATGATCAGACAAGCGTAAGTAGATTTATTTACAGTAACTGCGTTTAAAGTAAAATACCTTCAAGTATGATGCTGAGGATAAATGTCGTGAAACGGTTTAAGTTACGTGTCGACTGAATCCAAACTACCAAACAGTTACCTAGCTAGCTGTTAGCTTAGCCGTTACGTTAGCTTGAGGCTAATACGCCGTCTAGCCCGGAGCTTTGTTCACGCTAACGTTGTGCTGTGCTAATGAAATGTGATTATTTTTCAGGAAGGGCAGAACCCCCCGCAGGCCTCCTAAGAAGCCGTCCAGTACCCAGAAAGACCCGGTTGGGGTGAGTGTCACTTAACGTGTGCTTAAGAGTAGCATTCAGTGCGTTTGGGATGTGATGTGTGAACGTTTGGCAAATGTTTGGCTTGTTACTAATGGTTAGTTAAGCCAATACTTTCCCCACAATGCACTCAAGAGTAGTGAACGATTAAACACGTCCACCTCCTGTAACGTGACTTTACTTGTGCTCAGGTGTACTGTCGTGTACGACCTCTGGGTGCGGAGGACGAGGAGTGCTGCATCGAGGTGATCAGCAGCAGCACCATCCAGCTGCACGCTCCTGAAGGCTTTAAAACCAACCGCAATGGAGAGTACAAAGAGGTAATGTATATACTACAAGTAGTTTTGGGAGTACTTTTAAGGGTAATAGAGGTATTATGTCTTTATCCTTTGCAACAAATTCCCCCCTGGAGATGAATAAAGTATCTATCTATCTATCTATCTTTATGTGTCATCCCTTTACACAATGATCATGTGACTGTCTAAATTAATTTAATTTAAAAGAATATAGCGGGTGGTAGTCTGCATTTTTCTTTGTATTGTCTGTTTAGCCAAAGCATGATCAATCTTATCCACTGTTTTTAAACGCATCAATGTATTTCACCTAAAATATTCAAAATCTCTTTCACTTCTCAGACACAGTATTCCTTTAAAAAAGTCTTTGGAGTGTCCATATCTCAGATGGAGCTGTTTGAGCATGTGGCCAAACCTCTTGTCGACGACCTCATCCATGGAAAAAATGGTAAAAACCCACTGGCCAGCTCCAGGAAGAAGCCACATTCATTTTTCAAATGACAGTTTACCTAAAGCAAACGTCCTGTTTTTTTCATACTAAATATCAGTAATTCTGCTGCATTCTCTTCCACTAAATCTCCTCTGTTGTTGCAGGTCTGCTCTTCACGTACGGGGTAACAGGAAGTGGGAAGACGTTCACCATGACTGGCTCTCCAGGCCAGGGTGGACTTCTACCTCGCTCACTGGACATGCTCTTTAACAGCATAGGACCATACCACACCAAAAGATATGTAAGAGAGTGAACATTAAGAAACGGTGTCTCTTTAACCCACACAATTAAATACACTGTGAAATTGGTACATTTATTCATATAATTTAATTCCTCCTGTCTTTTTTTTTTTCAGGTTTTAAAGACTGATGACAAAAATGGCATCGAGGTCCAGAATGAAGTCGATGCTCTGCTGGAGCGCCAAAAGCGTGAAAACATGTCTTTTCCGAAACCCTCCTCTTCCAGGTGAGTCTGAGTCCTGTTAAACACCGGTGTTCTGCTTCAGTGTAACCCATGTATAACATGCAAGTCACTGCTTTGATTTCAGACAAAAGCTGGATCCTGAAATCGCTGACATGATTAAGTCAGAGGAGGCTTATAAAACTGATGGCGTGGACGAGGACAGCAGCTACAGCGTCTTCGTCTCCTACATAGAAATCTACAACAACTACATCTACGACCTCCTGGAGGAGAATCAGGAGGATGCAATCAAACCAAAGTGAGTCCAGGAAGTTTAAAGTGAAAAACATAATTCAGATATAAACAATCATTTAAAAACTGATTAATCACATCATGTTTTAACTTTTCAGAGATATTCAAATGTTACATTTCAAGTGTAGTGGTCTGTACAAGTAGCTGGAAGACAATTATCATCTTTTCTTTTTGCTAGGTGGAATGGTGGAGGCACACCTGTACGCCAGAACACTGAGTTCATGTATGTGACCAGTGAATCCTCATACATCATCAGACTAGTAGCCTAATTAAGATGAACTCTCCCTGTTACACAAACATCTACAGTCTAGCTTGTAAATAGAAGCTCATCAACACTGGAGACATTTTCAAACTTGAGATGAAACTTCTTGTACTATAAATCAGATCTAATTGTCAGGACATCTAAGAAGTTACCCAGAAGTAAGGCTGCGTTTCAGGGCCGATACCTTTTTTTTCTTATGGATCTACAAAATACACCAATCGAGCCAAATATTCTCTACATCCAGCACAGAGAGCATTTGCTGTTTTTTCTTTGTTTTGTATGATAGTAAACTGAACATTTTAAAGTGTTGGACTGGAGAGAACGGGCTGCTTGAAGATGTCACCGTGGACTTTGCTGTAGGACTTTGCTTAATAAAATATTGGCAACTTTGCAAAATTCCAATTTAAATCAAATGGTCTGCAAGCATTCAATGACAGATTTTGGCACGCTGTACCACAGACAAATGAGGGTCAGTGGCCAAACAATATGGAGGTTTGCAACTCAGCCCTACCCAAAAGTTGATTGCAGGCTGCTCCAGGTGACGTCTCCAGTGTTGAGTGTTCATTTAGTCCTAAAAATCATTGCAACCCCCCCCCCCCCAGCTGCTTGTAGTCTTAGGTTCAAAGCTCCTGAATGTAAACCTGCTGTCTGTTGCTTTGTATGGCACTTCATGATTGTCATCGATTATTTATTTTTCGTGGCTGCAATCAAGCAACATTAGAGAGAGCCCCCCCCCCCCCTACCCCAGATGTTTGATACTCCACATCTGTTGCATGAAAAATGAAATTCCATGTTGTCAGTGAGTAACACTTTTCTGCTCTCAACGTAGACCACCTCAATCCAAACTCCTCAGAGAGGACCAGAATCACAACATGTATGTGGCCGGTTGTATGGAAGTCGAAGTAAAGTCTGCTGAGGAGGCGTTTCAAGTGTTCTGGAGAGGTAAGCGGTTGTAAGATCTGCGTTTTAGAAGTCAAAAGAGTCTCATTTAAGGAAATGAATAAAAGAAGAGTAAGGGGAAAAGATTGCATTGATGATGGTAGATGTGACTGACCTGGCATTGCTGGCCTCCGGGTCGGCTCTGGCCAGGAAATGACCTCAGTTAATCTTCTCTCTGAGCTGGTCACGTACCAACAAATAGTTTAAGAGCAGTTCAAATTACATGTGAAGACGCTACCTGTGAATAAACGTGCTTTGATAAGTTATATTCTGATGCTCCAGGTCAGAAGAAGAGGAAGGTTGCGAACACTCGCCTGAACAGAGAGTCCAGTCGCTCCCACAGTGTACTCATCGTTAAACTGGCTCAGGCGCCTCTCGACGCAGATGGCGACAACATTCTCCAGGTCAGTTGAACCGAAACCGAAATGTCTGCTCCTGTTTTGGATGAATTATGAGCACTGTTTTTGAGTATTTTTTTCTGATCGTGTTTGTCAGGATAAGAACCAGGTGACTGTTAGTCAGCTGTGCCTGGTGGACTTGGCAGGAAGTGAGCGCACCGGTAGGACGGGGGCAGAAGGCACACGTATACGAGAAGCAGGTCTGTTACGAAAACATCAAACTGAAGTTTTCTTTGTAGCTGAGGTTGCGTGAGATTAAATGATGTTCTTACCTCGCAGGTAACATTAATCAGTCTCTGCTGAATCTGCGAACGTGCATTGAGATACTTCGAGAGAACCAGATGTGTGGCACAAACCGGGTATGAGTCACCAGAACGGACATGAATTCATTCCATTTACTGATGAACCATGTAGGTGATGCCAGTTTTCTCTCACAGATGGTCCCCTACAGAGACTCTAAAGTAACCCATCTGTTCAAGAACTACTTTGACGGAGAGGGAAAAGTCAAAATGGTCGTCTGTGTCAATCCCAAAGCCGACGACTACGAGGAAACCTTGGTACGTTCGTGCTGCACCTTCACTGCGTCCCTCTTGTTTGAATGAACACGTGAGTTGACTCACAAACCACACGCTCCGTTTGTCCAGCTGGTGATGCGGTTTGCAGAGATGACCCAGGAGGTGGAAGTGGCTCGGCCGGTGGACCGGCCCATCTGTGGCTTCACCCCGGGCCGCCGCCAGAGAAACCAGGCCTTCAAAGAGGAACTGTCTCGCAAGCTGGACGAGCGCGGTGGTCCGATAGACAGAGGTAAGCTACGCACTGTACAAGATAAACCTGCACAATAACTGTATGTAGTTAATGATTAATCTTTCATTGAATGTCATGTTGGAACAAATGTAAGACGAGCCTGATTTAAATCATATTTGGAATAGAAAAGAGGAGTTGTGTTAATCCTCTTTCTTTTAGACATGCACCGTGTCATAAACCACCTGGTGCACAGCCTCCCTTCTCTACCGTCCTGTGAGCTGACCGACCCCCACGATGACATCACCCTGCCCAGGCTGATCGAAGCTCTGCAAAACAGACACAGGATCAGGCAGCTGATGATGGATGAATACAACAACGCAGGTGCCTGCTGACATCCTAGCTCGACCCTCACCTCTCAGCTTTGCTTGTTCAGGTTACTTACGTTTTCCTAACTCTGCTCTCATGTTCTCTCAGCCAACAGGATGAAGTCCATGCTTCAGGAAGTGGACAGCATCCAAATTTCCAAAGACGATTTGATTCATGAACAAAACGGCAAACTGGTGGACAAGGACAAAATCATCCAGAACAACAAGGCAGAGATCGAACGCTTGGAGAAAAAGACCAGAATGCAGGATCACAAGGTGACACACGAAAACATGCAGACTTCCAGAGATTGCTGGTTTGTTTAGTAGATGTGTTGCTCAGTTTCTTAAACGTCTGTTCCAGATTGACATCCTGCAGAAAACGACTAAAATTTACGAGGACGACAAGCGCTCTATGAAGTATGAACTGGAAACCAGAGACCAGAGGCTGCAGAGGGAGCAGACGGACAAGCGGCGCATGGAGCAGCGAATGCACGGCGTGGTCACAGACACCCAGCACAAGTGGGAGAAAGAATGTGTGAGTTGCTCCTCTAATAACACACAGACTGATAAGATTAGGTAGCCTTGCATGTGCTATAGTCTGTTACAGTAGCACGTCGTAGATTACTTTGTATACAGTTATGTATGTGGTGTTGAACTTTAACACGCCTCTTGCTGTGCAGGACCGACGCGTTAATGCGATGCAGCTGGAGATGCAAAACAAGCTTTGGGTGAAAGACGAGAAGCTGAAGCAGCTCAAGGCCATCGTGACGGAGAGCAAGACTCCAGGTCGCCCCGATCCTCCACCTCGTCATACGCAGCCTCAGCGGCCTTCCAGAGAGGACCGCCTCCCTGCAAAGAGATCCGCCTCGCCCTCACCTGTCCCTGTATGTCACGTCCACGATGCACATCTAGAGCTCCCGCCTAGCTCCTGATTGATTTATCTGTTTTCCTCACTGGACTAACATTACTAATCCCATTGTGCTGGCTGTAGATGCAGCAACATAAACACCTGTGTGTTATAAAGTACAGTGCAAGTATACAGTAAAAGTATAAAGTACAGTGCATTAGTCCTGCAGCAGGTAACTCATTTGACAGTTTTGATTCAGTTATCTGGTAATTGTTAAAGTTGTCTGTGATGTTGATTTGCATTGTAACCGGTACTGCAACTAACAATCATTTTCATTATTGATTATTCCATGGATCATTTTTCAATTACTCAAATGTTTAGTCTCAGAAGATAGTGAAACATGTCCTTCAATCGTCACATTTCTAGTTCCAAATATTGAATTTACAAAGATATTAAACATAGAAAATGGCAACAACTTTATTATTTATAAAGGCAAAAATGTCAATTAACTGATGGTTTCAGCTCTACATTGGAATATATTCAGGGGCGTTATTATTTAGTAACTACATTTACATACAGTAGACATGCAACTGACTCTTTGTGGATTAATCTGCTGGTCATTTTAATCACAATATCCTTCAGCCCAAACCTCAAAGTACTCTATTAAATATAATGTTTGACAAAATAAAGCAACATATTTTACCATTGGAGAAGCTGGAACCATCACGTTTAACATCTTTGCTCTTACAATAACCCAAATGATGAATTGATTAAAATGACAAACTGTCAAACGACTAAATGTTGCAGCTTTAAAATGGACAACATTCCACCTGTAACATTTCATTCCTCTAAGATATCTTTGTACTAACTATCTAACCGTGCATGCATGTAACTGCAGTCTGTCCACTCTGCTTCCCAGTGCCCTGTTGCTTCTCCCCGTTTCAGGCCAGGGCCAGTCAGTGTCACTAGAGTTGAGGAGGTTGAGATGAACCCAAGGCCCGCCTGCCCCGCCCCCAGCACCAGTAGCTCTGTGTCTGTGTCGAACTGCGTGTCTGCATGGGAGCAGCAGGGAGACCAGGACAGCAGGCAGGGCTACCGGTCCCCTAGCACACCCACGAGAACCCAGTCCTCAGCCGGCTCCTCAGCCTGCCGGAGCAGCAGGAGAGCTGCTCTGTTTCGGGTTCCAGAGGAGGAAGAGGCCAACTCCCATACCTTAGATCTAGACCTCAGTGAGAGGAGCTACAGGGTCAGTGAGTTAGCTACAGGAAGCAGCTTGAGGTTTTCTAGTGTCTCTGATCAGACTGTAGGTGTCCCCCTCCTCAGGCAGAATATTTGACAGTTTACCCCAAATTTGAGTTCCTACAACTGAACTCATCTCCAGCCATTTACCAGTCTCATGATGGGTATCTTTGTCAGAGTGAGATCCTACTTGTATGTATGTATGTATGTATGTATGTATGTTCTTATTTCTTCTTTTTCAACTGCCTCCACGCTCTGTAGACAGTGACGCCGGTGCGTCCGCTGCACCGTCGCTCTCGCTCCGCTGGCGGTGAGAAGTGGGTTGACCACAAGCCTTTGTCCAGCTTGGACTTGGGTACAGTTTTGCAGCCCGTCATCCCCAACGCCATCCAGGTGTCTACACCGAGTGAGAAGGCCCTGTCCAAGTGTGACCGATACGTGTTGACACATCAGGAGGTCGCCTCTGATGGCGAGATACAGACCAAACTCATTAAGGTAAGTACGCCGCAGATTTAGATCAATGAAGTGAAACCAAATGGCGGATTATCGGTCTGCTAGCATGTTCACGTTGGCTGGTTTTCTTTTTTGGAGAGGTTGTTGTTAGAAAAACATCTTGGGAGCAGTTAGTTTTTTTTCACGTGTATGTTTCACATTCATCAAAAGAATGCCAATTTGTAAAAGGCAAAGTCTGCTGCATATTCTAAAACGTTGACTGGAGTGTCTTGCAGTGGATACACGTAAAAGAAACCTCAGCTTGTACCTTAATCTCAGGGAGTTTTTTTGTCCATAAAACACACTCGGTGGGTACACATCCATGTCCTTTTTTTAACATGTCATTTCAAAAATCTGTTTTCTTTTTCTAACCAAGAGGCCTCGTACGAGGTAAATGTTCTCTAAATAGCAGGTCATGTTCTTTGACATAAATCAGGAACTACTTGTCGTCCCACATGTCGAGGCCCATGCGGCTCAAAGCTGCTTTCATTTTGGTTGACGGGCACATTTCAGGCCTGATTTTAAGCCACAGAGAGCTGGTACTGATGCTTTGGTTAATTCATTGAAATGGAGCACTACATCGATTATAACTGGTGTCGGGTGCCTTTAGGAAAGCAGGACATTGAGATGTTATGCCTTTTCTATGCCAGTATTAGAATGCTGCATGTTGAATGTTAGGGATGAAACGGTGGTGATCAACGATGTATAACTGTTTTAAAATATGAAAACCATGTGCGGCACTTGTTGACTCACTTTGTTTCATACAAATATCTATTACGTCATACTTCTTCTTCACTTTACAGGGTGAGGTGATGAAAACGAGAGGAGGAGGACAGGCCGTCCAGTTCACCGACATCGAGACCCTGAAACAGGAGCTCACCACAGTCCCAAGGTAGCAGCCGGTCAGGAGCGGCACATCAGTCGGGTGTTTATGACGATGTTTAAACATTTTCTCTCTGTCACTTTACTGAAGGCGTAAAAGAAAATCATCAGAAGGTGCATCTGCCAATGGAGACGGAACAGATGGTGCTTGGACTGATGTGGAGACGAGGGTAGGATGATTATATTGATTAGTCTCCAATAAACTACCACTGGTTTAGAAAGCAGACGGATCCTGCAATGAACCTACTGCTGCATGTGTATAGAGGCAAGCTGGAAACCCTAAAACAGATCTGAACACGTCTCTTGTTCTTTAAACATTTTTTATGATCAGACGATTTGCCATAATTAACATACTTTAGAGATATATTGGACTCTAAATATAATGCCCTCCAACTACAGATTTAAAAGAGTACAGTAAAGTCAAATCAATGCAACTCTGACACAGAGCTGAACATAGTTTGGATTTATGGGAGGACTCCTGTGTTGGGTTACAGTGGAGACATAATCCACCACAGGCCACTTCTTCACTCTTCACATTGCACCCCCACTGCAGGCAGAGACAGACGTTTGATGAAGAAGCCGATGCTTCAGAGTACATTTGGGTCCTAATGTGTCTTTTGTTGGCAGTGTTCTGTTGCTGTGGAGATGAGGGCCGGATCAAACATGGGTCCTGGCTTTGAGCATCACGGGATCACCAAGTAAGCTGTCCGTAGATCACACCTGAAAATAACATTAGCTTTGCAATACACAGCACACTATTTGACTTATTTCTTCTTCTTTTAAAGGCGCAGGAAACCCTGAAAGCAGCCGACAGCTGCTCCAGTGATCCCTCACCTCTCACCTGGCTGTTGTGCAATAGTCTGAACTTTTTATATTTAGCTCTAGTGATAATATTTATACATTTTCCACGCTTTTATATATTCAGACGTGTATATACATGGGTCACCAAAGCTGTTTTGTAAAAAATATTTTATGTTGTATTTGAACCAATAGATAAAGAGTACTCTGATTCAGTCAAGGATGCTGGCAACTGAAAGAGTCTGCTTGCACATTTGTGTGTAACATAAGTCACATTTGTTTCTTGTGAAGCTGCCACAATATTGATTTCCATCTGCTCCATACTGTTTGGTTCTTGATGGATGAATTATATTGAGCTTACAATAATCAAGTTATTTTTTGATTCCCTTCTTTATATAGTTGGGTTCTCTCCTTCCTTCACTGTACACTCGGGAATAAAGTTCCTCTGAAGCAACAGTTTGTCGTGTTTACACAGTAAAAACAATGCAAATGTGACAGTTTGGTGCATAATGCTCTGGGCAATTAGTGCCAGGTTCATTTCCAGACACTAGATGGGGATACAGGACAGCAGTACATTATGCCGCGTGTTGACCACCGCAGTGATACTGGAGGCACATGATGCCTGACTCATGCACCGCATTATTCCGTAAGCATGTTAACGGTTTGTCAAGAAATGCTGACTTAATGAATGTCAGTGAGAAGCACAGAGTTTAAGTGTCTGTGAAAAGTAATGGCAGCTTTGCAGTTCCACAGGTCAATTCTGTGCTGCTGTAAAACAGATTAGCAGTCAGCAGAACTGTTGATGGGCAAATAAGCAACGACTGCTCGCTTATTTTAAAACCATGCTTGAAAAGAGATTTAACGTCCCATTAGAGCGCTGGGCGGTACTCTGCCAGCAGTGTGGCAATATTCTCTGTCATATAAACAGTCTGCTTTCCATTACTTTGCAGAAATTGCTTTCTTGTGCTCATGCTTGATTAGATGTGCAATGTGTTAAACAAGACACCTTGTATATAAATCCACATTAAATGAGTCTGGCTGGCTGCCTTTAGGTGAAGTCAGCTGACTAGTCTGCAAACGAAGGGACCAGGGCCAGTATTAACATCCTTAAGTTAAAGTAGCAGTACCACACCATAAAACTACTATGCAAGTAAAAGTATTCATTAGGTTAAGAACTAGCCTCTGTTAAATTAGATTAGCAGCATTATATTTCATTTTTTACTACTTTATAATTTAATCATCACAATGAATCACACTCCATATACCGATCATATGTTAGGTAAAGTTGTGATCTTTAAACTAACTGGTAAATGTCAAATTAATGTAGCAGAGTAAAACGTACAATATTTCCCTCTGAGACATGAGGACTTCCATTCTAGGCTACTTCAAGTAAAGTACAAGTACCTCCATTTTTTGTTTTATTGGAGTAAATGTACTTCATTACTTTCCACCACTTTGTATTTTTGCTGTTTTAGGCTATAATAAAAAAGCAGAGTTAACTAATGTATTGCCTGAATAACAATCTACAACAAACCATTCTAAGTGGACAGAAGTGTGAGAAAACCCTGAACTTCAAAACTCCCACGTGTTAAAATGTCAGCGTCCAGTTCCCCCATCTCTTAACAACTGAGCATCACCAGTGTAATGGCCAGCTGAAGCTAGCGGCACAGTCATCCAGGCTTTGAGTAGACAGTTGAAATCTCATCAACTACCAGTCTGGCTGGGTTTCAATTGGAAAGCACTGGAGAGTGACTAACATGGAGCCTCTTGGAGAGGGTCAAGAGCCCAGAGCAACCAGTGGCCATTAAATTCACTCCTATGAGATATTGAGTGCTCTGCTTTTTGACCATGGCTCTGTGTGGTGTGCTGCACCACACTGTTTTCCTCGGCTCCTCACTGCAAGCCCTCCAACAACAAGTGGCACGAACATTATAAAGATGTTATTATGAAACTCCTGTTGAGCCCCTGATCAACATCACCAGTTTCAAAAGAGACACTTGAGGAAAATAAATGAAAACTGCACACAAAGGCCTCCAATCAGCATGAAGCAAGTCCTAAATGAACGCCGTTCATCCAACTGCATGGTAAGAATGCATCATTCTGCATTTCAGAGCTTCAGGCTTATAATTACACATTACGCTTATCAATGTTATTAAACTTGCTGGAGCGGATTCTGATGTTCTACTTGAATACACAGTCAATTAGACCATCTCGGATTTTAAAAGAGCAAGCCTAATTGCAATGTTTTATTGACTCTTTGCTTGAACGACTGATAAAGAGGCCTTTTGCCTTTTGCTACTGATCCATGATGTCGATGAGGGCCGCTCATAATTAAAATAACGCTGTCCACTGTTTTTACCTGTCACATCATTATTTATCTTACTCACTGATAGCTCAAAAGCTAGATTTAAACCTGCAGAAACCATTTTTGTGGCCACGCTGTGGCACAAAACATGCTGTTAACAACAGTGACGTGGGCCTGTACGTTCGTCACTATGAGGCGACATGTTTCACAGCACTCAGTCATTTGATCTATTAATATTAAATATTGATTGATTCTATTTTCTTTTGCTATATTTGACTTGAGGGGCAGGTTTATGACCTCGTTCTGCTCCCACGATTAACACGCTGTGCTGATTCCGCCTGTGAAACGTGGGCAGGAGTTTAAATAGGTGTGATGAAAGTGTAACCCTACCCAGTAGCACTCTAAACCTGGCTGTACGGAGCATTCAAAGAATGATGCCATGTTTCATTTGCTTCCAAAGCTGTATCATAACAACCGAATGCTTGCTGATTTGAAGGGCACGTTGAAGCAAGTACCTAAAATCACAGCCACAGCTGGACAGCTGTGGCTGTGATTTTAAACCAGAACCCATTACAAAAAGGCTTTCTACCTTCTTTTAGTGGAGAGGATAACAATTCCCTGACAATGAAAGCCAATTAGTGGGAAACCCAAGTAAATACTGCATGAGAGCAGAGCTTTGCAAACCAAAGCTCCGAGCGGGTCTGCACACTACGTCTTCATATGTCAAGGCCGTGGCTGCCTGCCAGCTAAATGTGTCGGGCCAGAAAGATATGGGAATGCAGATGAGTGTTGACAGCCAGTCAATTGTCATTCAGCCCATCTCCCAGCCTCTCGGGACTCATCTGGCTTTTTTTTTTTTTTTCTCTCTCTCTTTTTTCCCGCTGGTCTCCTCTTCACTGCTCGCTCACCTCACGCTCCTCTGCCTTAATGCATACTAAAAGGCACAGTGGAGGCATGAGGCACCGTGTTCAGTGTTAATAAAAAGGTAAAAGCTCCCACGCTCTCTTTTCTGCTGGTGCGGCTGTGACGAGCAGATGGGTCAAAGAGTCACAAACTCGCAGAGACTCCCGGAGGTAGAGTTTGTTTTTGCAGCTGTTTAGAAGCACATTGGATGAGAATTGCTCTGACCCTTAAGCGCACGCGGTTAGTGGTTCAGAACACCTCATCCCATCTGCTCCACCTCCACCTGCTTTTTTTAGTCCGATGTGTCACTTAGCTTCTCCACTCGCACTCTGTGAGACAGTCTGCAACTAGCTGATCTGATTTCTTACTGTATGCTGTTGATGTTTTTTTCCCAAAGATGATTTAAACAGATGTTGAGCCTGTCACTGTCAATTTCATTTCCTGACGTTATCATCCTGATTTCCAGTTGTCCTCGTGCTTGTTGTTGTGGTTACACATCAACATTGAGAGCGTTGACCTCTGACAAACGTAATTCAAGACGTGACTGGTGTCTTATTGAAAATATTGGAAGCCATTGTTGTGCAGGCTCATTATAGGCAAATTGGGCTGAATAGTTTTTTCCCTCCCTGTCTTTGTTCTTCGCAGCCGACTAAGTGCTTGCAGCTGTCAGTTGAGTGTATTCTCTTTGCCAAGTTTATGTGGCTTGGCTGCACTTTTAGCTGGCTGTGTCCTGACTGTGGTGACAGTATGCCATGACTGATTTCCATTGACTCACTTTCATTGTAACCACAATGTGTCCCTCACAGAGAAATTCAACTGCTTTTTTTTTTTTTTAAAAAACAAGTGGTTGATCTCATCTAGTTAACGCTGTGGCGTAACCGGGCTTTGCGTGCAGTTGGCTGATTATTTAAGCAGCGCTCCAAGCTTTTTGCTGATGAAATGAAAGGAGAGGAGATGCCAGGCATAATTGTACTGACAATGGCACAATGCAGGATGATGTATGATGACTAAATGGTATTTGGGATGTGGCGGAGATTGACTCAACTTTCTCACATCACATGAATCCTTCTAGCTTCAGTTCTGCGAGTACAAAGAATAAAAGAGCGTTAAAACACCTCCTATTAACCCGCACAACTGATATCTGTGAGTCCTTGTTTGCTACAGCGAGGAGGACAATGGTATTTCAAACCTTTGTCCTGCCAATGCTTTCATGCAAATGACTCACACTGGAACCAGCTTATCTGTGAACAATCATAGGTGGCATTTGGAAGAGGGTGAAATAGCGCCACATGATTTTTATATCTGCATAAGGCTCAATCAGGTCCCTACTCACAAAATCCCACGCCAAAGCAAACATAAAAGCCTCTTTGAAAGCACACATCAGCTGTTTATCTTATAATAGCCTGCCACACTGCTGTTCTACAGTTCTACATTTACAACGGTGCACTTTGCACGTTGTAAATGGTAGGCAATTTGACATGGCGCATTAAAGGAGTTGTTACTTAATTCATAAGATATGGCTAAGCTGCAAAGTTCATTCATTCTAACAAAGCTGCAACTTTTATCACACAGGGCCAGGTATGAGTATAAAGGCTGAGATCTCAGCATCCATGTGCACGAATAAGATTAGAGCGCTGGCTGCGGCTGCTGTTTACAAGGTGAACGGGACAGTTGTTCCAAAAAGCGAAAACCCCGGATGAATGTGGGTTCATATAATTCACAGAGCGTGCTATTTCCATGGTGTGTTTATCCGTCTGATTAATGGCCGATCCAATTTGCATTTGAACATTACCTGAGGAACACATCTACATGGGCCTTACTGGATGCTAATGATCCGGCGCATGCCTAATAAACTGAAGTGAGAATTCAAACGAGGCTCAACCTGCCTGCGAGGCTAGCTTAAGCAAACACAGGACAGCTGGCAGAGAAATCATCGTGACTAATGGTCTCAGTGTGAGACAGTAGCAGGGCTGTGGGTGGTTGTTTTACCACGCTAAGAAGAACAGACTTTGTTTGTCTTCCTATAGCATACAACATGACTGTGTGATTCTGAATATGTTGGCTTTGTTTATGTTTGCTTTTCTTGCCACAGTAGTGCGACACTAGGAACTTCCAAAAAGTGTGACTGTTGTTCGTGTTTCCCTCCGGAGACTGAGGTGACCTTACAAAACGGGAATGTAGTCATGCTTTTAGAAGTGGGCGGACAAATCTCAGACTGTGTATACTGTCACCTGGAGGTGTGTCTGTCAACTCGTGTTTTCACTGTTTTTGTATTCGGTTCAGGCTCCTCTGCTGTGGTAAACATAATGCGCTGTGACCTGTCCTGAGGGCAAATGATCTGATTTGCTCTTCCCTTGTCTTTTACTCCTAATCGCATCTACCTCAGAGCCAGAAAATGGTTGTGCAGCTGTCACAACCGAAGCACGGCGCGACGTGACGGGAGTGCATGTTTTTGCTATTATCTATTCTATCTGAGCCAGAACACAATATTAAAACCTCCACTGCATCCCTCTTTCTCACAGGCCGCTGCATGATCAATACCCACATCAAAGGCTCT